GACACTATGTTCTAGTAGTACTCCCGCCGACCACCCAAGCAAGACGATTCATCGTCTGTTACAGCAGCAGCGGGAGGCCCGGGTCGCGCTAGTACATCACCACTGCGTCTGTTTACCTTCTGAAAGGAGGATGCAAGGCAAAGCGCGAGTAGGGGGGGCACACAAACAGCGACAGAAGCCTTCATGCGACACATGGGGGAACGTCAATATGGACGTGGCGCACGCACATGGTTCATTCGCTGATGGCGGTCTGGCTGGTATGCCAATATCGTTCACCATAAAACGACGATATTAGAACTTCCTTATAATTTATGATAAATTTACATATCATAATATCATATGTTGAGCTTGATAAAAATAATCCAAACTTAAATGGCCGAATCTCTAACATTAAATTTAGTTCTAAAAAAATATCACATTCCTAGAATTATAAATCTAAGGCAATAAATATAAACTTGCTATACATCTGCACGTTCAGAGATTTTCCAAATCGAATATATTTGGGTTAAACCATATCGGGCTTAGAAATACGAACAGTTAAGTAGAATTACTGTACGTTTATTTATCTATGATCGTGTTTGTGAAAACGGATGATTCCTACACGAGGTCTGCGGAGGACGTGTGCTTCGACATTCACTCAGGCACGGGCAAACTGCATGTGCCGCCCAGCTTAAGCCGACACTCCAATGCTCTAGATTCACCGTGACACACGCCAACGACACCTGCGATTAGCTACCTTCCACGATCCGACTGCGACTAACGGTGCCTTATTTTAGATGCCTCAACGCACATCGTACCGCTTTAGTGACCGCCGACACACGTTGCTCGTGGGCTGCTACCCGTGTAATGAACGCAGGCGGAGTCAGCCTCCATCGTGACTTGTTATTTAAACCGCGCGCTGCTGGAAGTGAGAAATAAGATGCGCCGTGCTAAACTCGACATGCACCGAGCCCGCGCCCCTCCCCCCAATTACATATCGGACACCTGTCGTTTACCTCCTCTGCTGTCCCTCGCACTGGGGATTACTGCACAGTCCACGCACTGCCTGTCATTGTTATATTGCTTCGCAATTTAAGGAGGCAAGCGCATGGAAAGGTTCCTATGACCATCAGTGTCATAACAGGGAGCCTTGCTCTGAGAGGCACAGCGAAATATTCGCGGCACCACGAGGCCGATCCCATGAGGCCCTGACTGTCGCCAGGGGCTGACTGTCGCCAGGGGTTGACTGTCGCCAGGGGCTGACTGTCGCCAGGGGCTGACTGTCGCCAGGGGCTGACTGTCGCAAGAGGCTGACTGTCGCCAGAGGCTGACTGTCACCAAAAGATGACTGTCGCCAGACACTGACTGTCGCCAGGGGCTGACTGTTGCAAGAAGGTGACTGTAGCTAGGGGCCGACTGTCGCCAAAGGCTGACTGTCACCAGAGACTGACGATCGCCAAAGGCTGACTGTCGCCAGACACTTACTGTCGCCAGGGGCTGACTGTCGCAAGAGGTTGACTGTAGCCAGGGGCCGACTGTCACTAGAGGCTGACTGTCTTCAGGGATTGACTGTCACCAAAGGCTGACTTTCGCAAATAGCTTAGAGTCACCAGGAGCTGACTGTCGCCAGGGGCCAACTATCACCAGAGGCTGACTATCACCAGGAGCCGACTGTCTTCAGGGACTGACTGTCACCAGGAGCCGACTGTCTTCAGGGACTGACTGTCACCAGGGATTGACTGTCACCAAAGGCGGACTTTCGCAAATAGCTTAGAGTCACCAGGAGCTGACTGTCGCCAGGGGCTGACTGTCGCCAAGGACCAACTATCACAAGAGGGTGACTATCACCAGGAGCCGACTGTCACCCGAGGCGAGTCGTCGCAAAAGGCTGACTCGCCAGGATCTGGATGATTCTCATCGACCTAAGGGATTGCATACCAGCGCGCTACTGCACAGAATATCGGAACTCTATAAGCTTTCGAATGCGAACGAGAGCACAGATGCTATTTAATCATGAGGCACACGATCAGTGGCGAACAAAATCAAGTATGACATGCGATAGTTATATGAATCATTAACAGCGCATCAGTATACTGGCCATGAGCAATGGATTTACGAGATGGACGTATTAGAAAAAGGGCGATGCAGAACAAAGGGTATACGTTAGCAATCACACAACAACTCTGGGTTTGCTGAGCATCTGTCATTACGCGTCTAGCTCACTGAGACATTATTACTGAGGGATCATGACACATTACAACCAGCAGCTGTTTCTGCTCCTAAATATTAAAACAATCTTTACAGTTTCTCGGACAAAAACACGAGGCAGTGTTTCCCTCGTAAAACAAACATGTTCCAGCATATTCCCTTCATTCATCATTCGTGTTTTTCGTAATTAAAACTGGCAAACAGGAAGGATATATATATATATATATTAATACAGCTTATTAAGGGAAGAAACGAATACGAAAATTCGTCCTTGATGCTTTTACATGTTTTATCAATAATTTCACAATTTTAT